TTATTAAACATATTAATATTTATAATATAACAACGTTTTAATTTTTTTAAATATATAAACGTATAGTTTTTTTTTTAAATATTAGGGACGGCTTTTTTTTTTTTTTAATGAACAATATTGGGATGGCTTTGTATGGATCCTTTTTATGTTTCTACGTTTTACGGTGACATGATTGATTCATTGATTAATGGTATGATCCCAACAGGCATGACTAAAAAGCTAAAAGCAGTTTCCTATTGCATTTTTTTCCCTCTTTATTGTGCTTCTCTAGGCTTCTTTTGAATTATTTCACCATCGCTAAACTATTCATACTGTTCAAATATATACTTTAAGATTTCAACTTTGAACCATTTATATATAAGTTTTACATATTATATTTACATAAAATTTTAATAATTTATTTTTTTATTTTTAATAATTAAGATTTATCATAATTTTTTATATTAAAAAATAATTATTTTTAATAAATATGAATAAATTTCAACAATTAAAACTAAAACAATGAATTATTAAAATTTTATATAAATATAATATGTAAGAATTATAAGTGATACGTATATATATATATATATCTTGTCTAGTCATGTTTAATTTTTTTGATACAAAAGAATTGAAATAATTTCTTTCAAATCTCTTAATCTTTACACTTTGTCAATATGTTTGGGTTGAAGAACGATAGGGGAGGGGAGGGAAAAAAATTTTTTTTATTTGGTTATTAAAAGAATTGGAAGAGGAGGGAAGAGAAGAATTTTCTTTATTTTATTTTTTTAATTTATTTATTTATCTAAATGAGAGTAATAGAGATTAATGGAAAAATACAATTTCTTTTCCCTTCCCTTCATTCCCCTCAACCCAAACTTATGGTTAGTTCAAACTCTTAATCACACACAAACCACATCAATGAGGTGCCTAAGCCTAGCTCAATTATTCAAAACCAAGAAGATGTAAACTATATCTTGAGATGCACTATAGTTGACTTCAATGTCAAGATCAAAAGATAATGTGGGACTTTAACAGAATTTGACTGCATAATCATATATACCACTTGGCTACAGATTTTTTTATTGTTTTGATTTTTCTGCTTGACTTTCATTAATTGACTGACCCATCTAGGTACATTACATCTACTGCATGCTGTATGGTTATAATCTTTCTCTTGTTTGGTAGCTATGAAAAAGAGAGCAAAAATAATACTTATGAGAAGAAATTGATGTTAAAGAAGCATATGAACGCTGCACTTGAGGCAAGTATCATCAACGTTCAAAAGTGATATGATTTTAATAATAATAATAATAAAACAGATTTTTTTTTTGCCCGAAAAATTCCCAATTGAAACAGTTTAGGTTTAAGAAGATTAAATTAATGAAAATTTGCGTTGCCGTGTGCAGTTTGTCTGCTTTAAATGAAATAAATAATTTGGGAGCTTATGGAGCTATATTGTCTTTCTGTTTGTTCCTGTTTTCGATGAAAGTTTGAGTTTTAAAAATGGAAGGAAATTTTAGAAATAATTTTGGTTTGTCATATCCTTGTTTCATATATTCTTCGAGGATATTTGGATTTTGAAATGGAAAATAATTGGTACTCTTTTCATTCAATATGCTCTTTCATATTTATTCGATTTAGTTATTAAAATATAATATAAATAAATTAATTTAATTAATTTTTACATTTTTTATATATACATGATTATATTTTTAAATTTATTTTTATTTAATTTTATATTAAAAATAATATTTTTTTAATAAACATATTGTGTAATATATTAAACTAGATTTATATACCAACGATCTAAGTAGTTTAGTAGTCATCTCTTTATGTTTGAAATGATAAGTCTTAAGTTCGAATCGCATAGTATGTAGGTAGGCTGAAATAAAGGATGTGAGATGATTGCTTTTTATTGTGTAACCCAAATTAACAAAAAAAAAAAAGAAGAAGGGGAGATTTTATACCAACCATTATTACTTTGAAGGCTAAAATCTCCATTAAAGAGTGATGAACAAAATTACTGAAATTATCTCTATCTAAACACTAGTAATAAAGAAATCCAAACTTACATTTCGAACACAATATATGTAATTACTTGCTAATTGACCTAGGTACAGGCTTAAGATTCAGGGTCAGGGACCTCTGTCACCTTTCCGTTCTCATTTCCTCCTCACCTTCTCTCCTCTCCCAGCCTCGCCTCTACCCCTTTAATACCAAAAAATATAGATTGATGCACGTCTACCATTTCCTAATTCATGTGATGTACGATTAATTAATTAATATTAATTGAAGGCATTCTTTTGCTGGTGAAAGCCAAAGCTAATAATTATTGAAGATATATATAGAATTTATAAACATGATTTTGGATCGTATACAATCAATAAGGGCTGAGCTATATTAATTAGTTATGTGTTAAATTTAATCATGCATAATACTTTTTTTTGTTTTTGATATATAAATATTAAGAATTGAATTTTAGAATAATTAAATGTACATATAATTTTAATATCAAATTAAATCATTGCTTTTTTTTTATTTTTAATAGACTTAATTTGATTTTTCTAACTTTTTAAACATGAATTTTAAATAAAATTTTAATAATTTGTATGAATAAAAATTAAAAAATTTTTCTTTCAACATGAAATTTTTGTTGAATATTTTTATTTGATCAAAAAAATTTAATTATCATTTAAATAATATATTAAATTTTCATCTAAAATTTATGTCTAAAAAAATAAAAAAATCAAACTAAATCTAAAAGAAAAAAACTACAAGAAAATGAGGGAGTAATAATTAATCGTGCATATATATCATATAAAAGTTGGCATGGCGGATTTAGGGTGATGTTATTGTCACACCCTTAATTACTAATATTAAATATTTTTTATTTTAATAGATTATTATACTTTTTAATTTATCAAGACACAAAAACATGTAAAATTAAAAAAAAGTAATATAAAGATATAACAAAAAATTATACTAAAAAAATATGATATTAATTATTTAAAATATAGTAATAACTCCGATGAATCTATTTTATATAATGACAGCTAGCGGCCAAAATTAATTGTGCCTCTTCCTTATTAAACAAAAACATGGGTGTCTTTAGACAAAAATGATAGATGGTAAGAAAAAGGAAAGTAGATAGAGTAGATTAGTACATATCAAGATTTAAAAAAAGAAGTACATATCAGATTAATTCCTATCAATTCACTATGCACCCTGAGACAAGTCATCCAAGTATATATGGTATGTACCATACACATCAAAATTAACGACTTTTTTAGGAGTCTTTTCTAATCTCCTTTAAAATCAAACTCTGATATAATAAGGTGCAAAGAAAGCGCTGGTCCCCTATCTATCCTATAATCGGATAAAGATTCCCTTGCTTCGATAAATGTTCATTTGTCGATGTAA